TCGTGACCACACCCGGTCGCCCCGTGAGGGAGCCGGTCAGGCCACTGCCCAGGAAACTGTGGGGGACGGTACGTGACGAAGTGGACAAGATGCTGCGGTGGGAGGTGATCGAAGAATCCCGCAGCGCGTGGAGAAGTCCCATCGTACTGGTCCCTAAGAAGGATGGCACCACCCGATTCTGCATTGATTTCAGGAAGGTCAACGCGGTGTCTGTGTTCGATGCCTACCCAATGCCGAGGATAGATGAGTTGTTGGAGCGGCTGGGGAATGCCCGATACTTGTCCACTATCGACCTATCGAAAGGGTACTGGCAAATCCCACTGACGGAGGAGGCCCGCGAGAAAACCGCATTCTCCACGCCGTTCGGCCTGTACCAATTCAAACGAATGCCCTTCGGCCTCCATGGCGCCGCTGCCACGTTCCAGAGGCTAATGGACCAAGTGCTCCGGCCTCACGGGGCATACGCAGCGGCCTATATCGACGATATAGTCATCTTCAGCGCAACTTGGACCGAGCACCTGCGGCAAATAGAGGCGGTGTTATCCTCCCTTCAGGAAGCCGGGCTCACCGCTACCGCGTGGGGCAGAGCAGATGGGGTGCTGCTGGGTTGGTCCAGTAGCACCGAGGAGCGACGCTACTGGAGCAACCCAGCAGCACCCCAACTGCTCTGCCCCAGGCATCCCCAAGTCAGCTTTTGCTGAAACTGACCAGCGCTGACTACAGGAAGCCCGAGGCAGAGTTGCTCTGCCCCGGGCTTCCTGGAATCAGCTGCTGATCAGTTTCAGCAGCAGCTGACTTGGGGACGCCTGGGGTTCTTAAGTTGATTCTGTATGTAAGTCAGAACTGGTGGTCAGTTTCAGCAGTGTCTGAATCTGGACGCCAGTTCCGACTTACATACAGATTCAACTTAAGAACAAACCTACAGTCCCTATCTTGTACGTAACCCGGGGACTGCCTGTAGTCCTAAAGTGTCCCAAGATATCAAACTATGAAATAGTGACTTTTTTGTAAACAAAAAAGCTGTTAGATCATACTCAAAGGTTTCTAAATTGTGTTTATTATAACTTTTCTCTCCTAATGAGAGGTTTGTGGTAGGTAGTCTGGCATCTGGATTCTAATATAGTTGTATGTAAAATGTGTGGTATATAGGGCCACTTCATGATCCAACAATGTCAGTGTAGCTTTTGCATCCATACAGAATAATATGATGTTATGACATTTGCTTTCATTTGGGATGCCATGCATAAGTTATGTAGCCATCCAAAATTCATTCTGACAATGCTTTTATGTTATAGTTCATCATCATGTACAAGTGTAAGTTATATATCCAGCTAACTGTGCACTGTTTTTAGAAATAATCAAAACTGTTTGAGGGTGTGACGGGGCGTGCCGCCCCCACACCTCGCACGGCGGCCCGCCCCGCACTCAGCCCGCGATCGCGTTGTCCCTCCTGGGCGCCACCCAGGGGGCGCGGCGGCACTGCGAGGCCTGTT